TGGACTTACTTGGCAGAGGAGCGGGGCTCTAACTTAGTCTGTATAGCGAAGCATTAATGCTATATACCACTTGGTAGATATTAAGATAAGACTTTGGGATTGGGGAAGGAATGGTGCCCAAGTATTTGGCCTGGACGGTAGAGCGACGGTCTCGCTTCATGCAGGTCGGCGTTTAATCCCCGACTGTCAAAGTGGTTTGGCACCATTCCTTCCACCCGTCCCATCCCTAAGCCTTATCCTGACCCCCTTCCAAGTGTTAAATAATCGTACTGGCTTGGTTCTTTCTAATAGTTCCCGTTCCGTTCGAATTGCACCGCAATTCTACTCGGTGAAAAGGCAACAGAACTTGAACACCTACCCCGAGCCTAAATATAAATAACATTTTAATATATAACTTTAGACAACCACACCCACCAGGAGACTTGAACCCTGGCCATTAAGATGGCAGGTACGCACTTGTATCCACTACACCATACTCAGAACCCTAAATATATGTAATATATAATGGTATTTAGGTTTGAGAAAATAGGATTTCGAATTCAGTACGTTAATATTTCCTGAATTGGTCTCTGATGTGGAGTGCCGCGCGGACTAGGCTTGCCTGAAGACTGGTTGAACTCCACCACCCAGACCATTAACACAGCCCAGCCTCCTGTTGTGGTAGTTCTATAGTAACCATGACCACCATAGTATATATACCCACCTACAACCAAATTAGAAAGTAGAAATCGGCACTATTGAGTTGGACAAACCGGAATTTTTTTTGCTTTTGTTGCAAAGACAAACTAGCCTAACCTTCCTAGGCCTAATACATGATATCCGAGGCCTAATATAGTACATGTGTGCTACACTAGGCCTAGGAATATTTAAGTTTATTTAGCTTCATTTTCCCGATTATAAAGTGAATAGTACAAAGTTGACCAGACCACACACTAGAAGGGACGACGACGTTTCGGTCCGTCCTGGACCATTCTCATGTCGATTGTCCTGATTGCCCTGGACTATTCTCAAGTCGATTCAATCACAATCGACTTGAGAATGGTCCAGGACGGACCGAAACGTCGTCGTCCCTTCACCTTCTAGTGTGTGGTCTGGTCAACATACTTTAGCCACGTCATTGTGACTCATCGCCTGCATATGAATAGTACAAAGTTGTACTATGTACTTGCTTAGAACGTCACTCTTGGTACTGTGGTGCACCTGGTTACAAAAACTAGTCTAAACAGGAGGATGGTTGGAGTAATACAAATTGTCACTACCTTTGAAACCTCGCCACGGTATGTGTACACTCTTATAGTATACTAGATGGTATACCCGGCATGGCCCGGGTCTCCCCTGTGGCTAGACCTCTCCTCCACACCTGCGCGGCCTCCCCCCTCCCCTCCCCGTGGCGAAGGTTCCTCACGATATTACCACATATGTTACTACTATTATTACACACACGCACGTGTACACACACGCACGTGTACACACACGCACGTGTACACACACGCACGTGTACACACACGCACGTGTACACACACGCGCACACACGCACACACACGCACACGCACACACGCACACATGCACACACGCACACACACACACACACACACACACACACACACACACACACACACACACACACACACACACACACACACACACACACACACACACACACACACACACACACACAAGGCCAGTGTCCTTGACTTGTATACCATGCAAGGTGATGGAGAAGATCGTGAGAAAAAACCTGGTAACACATCTGGAGAGAAGGGAATTCGTGACAAATCGCCAACATGGATTCAGGGAGGGTAAATCTTGCCTTACAGGCTTGATAGAATTCTACGATCAGGTGACACAGATTAAGCAAGAAAGAGAGGGCTGGGCGGACTGCATTTTCTTGGATTGTCGGAAAGCCTTTGACACAGTACCGCATAAGAGGCTGGTACATAAGCTGGAGAGACAGGCAGGTGTAGCTGGTAAGGTGCTCCAGTGAATAAGGGAGTATCTAAGCAATAGGAAGCAGAGAGTTACGGTGAGGGGTGAGACCTCCGATTGGCGTGAAGTCACCAGTGGAGTCCCACAGGGCTCTGTACTCGGTCCTATCTTGTTTCTGATATATGTAAATGATCTCCCGGAGGGTATCGATTCATTTCTCTCAATGTTTGCGGACGATGCTAAAATTATGAGAAGGATTAAAACAGAAGAGGACTGTTTGAGGCTTCAAGAAGACCTAGACAAGCTGAAGGAATGGTCGAACAAATGGTTGTTAGAGTTTAACCCAACCAAATGTATTGTAATGAAGATAGGTGTAGGGAGCAGGAGGCCAGATACAAGGTATCATCTGGGAGAGGAAATTCTTCAGGAGTCAGAGAAGGAAAAAGACTTGGGGGTTGATATCACGCCAGACCTGTCTCCTGCAGCACATATCAAGCGGATAACATCAGCGGCATATGCCAGGCTGGCCAACATACGAACGGCATTCAGAAACTTGTGTAAAGAATCATTCAGAACTTTGTATACCACATATGTCAGGCCAATCCTGGAGTATGCAGCCCCAGCATGGAGTCCATATCTAGTCAAGGATAAGACTAAACTGGAAAAGGTTCAAAGGTTTGCCACCAGACTAGTACCCGAGCTGAGAGGTATGAGCTACGAGGAGAGACTACGGGAATTAAACCTCACTTCGCTGGAAGACAGAAGAGTTAGGGGGGACATGATCACCACATTCAAGATTCTGAAGGGGATTGATAGGGTAGATAAAGACAGTCTATTTAACACAAGGGGAACACGCACAAGGGGACACAGGTGGAAACTGAGTGCCCAAATGAGCCACAGAGATATTAGAAAGAACTTTTTTAGTGTCAGAGTGGTTGACAAATGGAATGCATTAGGGGGTGATGTGGTGGAGGCTGACTCCATACACAGTTTCAAGTGTAGATATGACAGAGCCCGATAGGCTCAGGAATCTGTACACCTGTTGATTGACGGTTGAGAGGCGGGACCAAAGAGCCAGAGCTCAACCCCCGCAAACACAACTAGGTGACAACTAGGTGAGTACACACACGCACACGCACACACGCACACACGCACGCACACACGCACACACGCACACACGCACGCACACACACACGCACACACACACGCACGCACACACACACGCACGCACGACTATCGCTGGACACGTGATCCTATGGTCCTGGGTTCGATCCCGGGCGCCGGCGAGAAACGATGGGCAGAGTTTCTTTCAACCTATGCCTCTGTTACCTATCAGTAAATAGGTACCTGGGAGTCAGCTGTCACGGGCTGCTTCCTATGTGTGTGTGTGTGTGTGTGTGTGTGTGTGTGTGTGGTGCAAGGAGAAAAAAATAGTAGTAGTAGTAGTAGAAACAGTTGATTGAGAGTTGAGAGGCGGGCCGAAAGAGCAGAGCTCAACCCCCGCAAGCACAACTAGGTGAGTACATACCCGCACACAGCCACCCCACTCCCTCCCATCTCTCACTCCATCACTGTAACCATCTTCACACTCTTCTCTACTTCACACTTCCCGTCTCCACGCGAAATATACTCTCCCCACATCTCTCTATCACTGTAACCACTTGGCCATCACTGTAATCAGTAGTCTGTGCCCAGAACGCCAAGCTCTCTTCTAAACCTTCGTTTTGCATATCAGTATCTGAATCCTTTTTTTTAATAACACATTTAGGTACACCTGAATTTGTGCAGCTGCCCTGGACTGTATGAAGGGGAGTACGGTGTCACAAAGCTGATGCTAAAAAATCTCCATCGCTAACACTTAATGTTAAACTCTACGGACATTTAGGAGCACATTTCATATCGAATGACTCCTTGAAGGGGGTTTGGGGGGTCGTTTCCCCCACTCTCACTCCTCTACTTTATTCTAATATCTTTCATATAACGTTATTTTATGTGATTTTCATATCTTATTTCCACCGTCTTTCCTCTCCCATTCTCCTCTTCCTTTCCTGCCCATTTTCTTTTCCATTTTCTCTCTTCTCCCCTTATCGTCCCTCTTTTTTGCCTTCTTCCCCTCTTCCCCATTTGGCCTCCCACCTCGATCAGACAGAAGGTAAGGTATTATCAGGAGAAACCGAACAGACAAATTTCCATTAAAGTGAAAGCGAATTCACTTACATTTAGACTCACCTAGGGACTCAGTTGGTCAATTTTCATTAATTTTGTGGGGGGTTTCATTATTAGGCCTTCCTCCCTCTTGATAGGACTAGTAGGACTAACCCCGGGCAGCCTATTTCCGTCCCATACCCCAGATTATTCCTTACCCCACCCTGCAGAGTTGAGCAAGTCTAGCCCTAAGCGTCTGGCCTCCCACCTTGGACACGGACATTCTCTTATTGATTGGGTACCTGAGTGGTGCTCGGGGGCCCTGTCTCCCTCCGTGTCGCCTCCCCTCCCATTCTCTCTCCCCTCCCATTCTCCCTTCCCATTCTCCCCCGTACCATAGTGGAGCAGAGGGTGAGGGCGGGTCTCGTGCTGCTGGTCCCCCAAGCCTCGCCCAGTACCACTTGCTAGTATTAGTGTCGCGATAGTCAGCCATTTATAATCATTACGGAATAGTTCTCTCTACCTAATTTTCATACTTTTCTAATAATGGTTATCTATTTGGCCTGCTTCACTTGCCGTATTGAATTTTTGTAATAATCTTTGTCTTCATCCAGGTAGTTGCGTTTCTTACGCAAGATATGTAACTAAGCTAAGTGTGTCCCTAAACCAGAGTGACGACACGGCTCTTGGTAGGGATATGGGGAAAAGGCGCAGGACATGACGACGTTGGCAAGGAATGTGACCAACCACTTATATCATCGGGGATTGAACGGCGACTTGTAAAAAGCAAGGCCGTCTTTGTACTGGCCAAAGTGGGGGAGGGGAGGGGGGGGGGGGTTAGAAACATTATTTTCCATTTTCTGCTTGAAACAGCTCGCCCTGTTTTTATCGAATCTTCCTAGACTTGATCACCGTACTTTATCTTCCAGGTATTGAGGGAGTCACGGCAGGGCCCCCGGCCACCACCAGCACAGGGCCCGGTCACCGCCAACTTAAGGCCCGGTTTACCGCCCGCCAACTTAGGGCCCAGTCACTGCCAACTTAGGGCCCAGTCACCGCCAACTTAGGGCCCAGTCACCGCCAACTTAGGGCCCGGTCACCGCCAACTTAGGGCCCAGTCACCGCCATGAACACCCCAGCATGGATGAAGCGCTTTTGGGTCGACCTCGTAACAAAAGAATTTGTTGCGATTAAGGTCCTCTTTTTCCTCATATATGGAGGTAAGTCACACTTGACTATACACATGTTAAATTTTGTTAATGAAAAGTCCCACTAAGTTACGTAAAGGTGAAATGCTGCCGCTGGACCCCAATTATGGAAATGGTGGCGATGGTCTTTGGTTCATTGGCTCTTCATGTACACATCTTGGCTTAGGAGGGAAGGTAAACAGGTGGTTGTCTGAGAGGAGCAGGTTGGCGGCGTGGAGACCGAGCTGAGGTAAACACTGCTGGACAAACAAGAGAAGAGAGAGGAGCGCATTATCACGTATGTGCTGCATCACTCTAACCTCAGTGACCACACGCCGGCCCGCGGTCCCTACCGTCCTGCCGCCGTGAAAGTTTCTGCAAACAGTGTGTGTGCCGGGGCGCCTCGCTCCTGCTGGTGACCTGGTCCATGGCGGTGACCCTCCTGCTGGTGACCTGGTCCAGGGCGGTGACCCTCCTGCTGGTGACCTGGTCCAGGGCGGTGACCCTCCTGCTGGTGACCTGGTCCAGGGCGGTGACCCTCCTGCTGGTGACCTGGTCTAGGGCGCCTGGCTAATGCTGGTGACCTGGTCCGGGGCGCCCGGCTCCTGCTGGTGACCTGGTCCGGGGCGCCCGGCTCCTGCTGGTGACCTGGTCCGGGGCGCCCGGCTCCTGCTGGTGACCTGGTCCAGGGCGCCTGGCTCCTGCTGGTGACCTGGTCCATGGCGCCCGGCTCCTGCTGGTGACCTGGTCCATGGCGCCCGGCTCCTGCTGGTGACCTGGTCCAGGGCGCCCGGCTCCTGCTGGTGGCCTGGTCCAGGGCGCCCGGCTCCTGCTGGTGACCTGGTCCATGGCGCCCGGCTCCTGCTGGTGACCTGGTCCATGGCGCCCGGCTCCTGCTGGTGACCTGGTCCATGGCGCCCGGCTCCTGCTGGTGACCTGGTCCGGGGCGCCCGGCTCCTGCTGGTGACCTGGTCCAGGGCGCCCGGCTCCTGCTGGTGACCTGGTCCGGGGCGCCCGGCTCCTGCTGGTGACCTGGTCCAGGGCGCCTGGCTCCTGCTGGTGACCTGGTCCAGGGCGGTGAGCCTCCTGCTGGTGACCTGGTCCAGGGCGCCCGGCTCCTGCTGGTGACCTGGTCCGGGGCGCCCGGCTCCTGCTGGTGACCTGGTCCAGGGCGCCTGGCTCCTGCTGGTGACCTGGTCCAGGGCGGTGACCCTCCTGCTGGTGACCTGGTCCAGGACGCCTGGCTCCTGCTGGTGACCTGGTCCAGGGCGGTGAGCCTCCTGCTGGTGACCTGGTCCGGGGCGCCCGGCTCCTGCTGGTGACCTGGTCCGGGGCGCCCGGCTCCTGCTGGTGACCTGGTCTAGGGCGCCTGGCTCCTGCTGGTGACCTGGTCCAGGGCGCCTGGCTCCTGCTGGTGACCTGGTCCAGGGCGGTGACCCTCCTGCTGGTGACCTGGTCCAGGACGCCTGGCTCCTGCTGGTGACCTGGTCTAGGGCGGTGAGCCTCCTGCTGGTGACCTGGACCAGGACGCCTGGCTCCTGCTGGTGACCTGGACCAGGACGCCTGGCTCCTGCTGGTGACCTGGTCCAGGGCGGTGAGCCTCCTGCTGGTGACCTGGTCCAGGGCGGTGAGCCTCCTGCTGGTGACCTGGACCAGGGCGGTGAGCCTCCTGCTGGTGACCTGGTCCAGGGCGGTGAGCCTCCTGCTGGTGACCTGGTCCAGGGCGGTGAGCCTCCTGCTGGTGACCTGGACCAGGGCGGTGAGCCTCCTGCTGGTGACCTGGTCCAGGGCGGTGAGCCTCCTGCTGGTGACCTGGTCCAGGGCGGTGAGCCTCCTGCTGGTGACCTGGTCCAGGGCGGTGAGCCTCCTGCTGGTGACCTGGTCCAGGGCGGTGAGCCTCCTGCTGGTGACCTGGTCCAGGGCGGTGAGCCTCCTGCTGGTGACCTGGTCCAGGGCGGTGAGCCTCCTGCTGGTGACCTGGACCGGGGCGACCGGCGGTGTTGTAAACTAATCATAAAACATTAAATGATCAACAGTGGATACATCGGCGTGCGATTAGTTCTTGTATATATGTACACACATGCACTATACGTCTTGTATATGACTTGTATATGACTTGTATATACACACACCCGCTATTACACACTCACACTATATGAGTGTTGACCATTCCTGCAGGTGTGGGGGAGGGAAGGGAGCTATCAGGTGGGCGTCAAGCCTTTATTACGACTTTATAACACTTGAAAAGGGTCAGGCTATGGATTTGGGATGGGACGGGGGGAAGGAATGGTGCCCAATTACTTTTTTTTTTATTTTCTACCACAGACGTGGCCAGACATTTACAATGCTAACCAGCATATATACATTTTCTTCTGTCCTCCATGGACAGGGTTAGAGAAGTGTTAAACATATAGTTTAGGGATTTATTGAACAATCAACCACAGAAGGTGATTCGGTGCTTTTTAAAATGCTAAACTAACCTACGTACGTAAATACATAGATACACAGATTTACGTATGCCCTACATAGTGTTCGATGTGTCATTAATGTGCATTTACAAAGGTGAAATGCAATTCTGATCACCTTCCATATGTTCTTTATACACATACATACACACACGCATATACGTACATATACATATATACACATGCATTCACATACATTTCTCTTTTACTCTGACAGAGTGAGATAGCTGACAGAGAAACTAGTGTGCAATTAAATGCGTAATCACTGAAGGTGATGAAGGTGCTTTTACAAGCTCAGGTTATATAGTTACATCACATACATTATATAATTGATACATTACATGGTCAATCTTGGGTACAAGTCTTGGTGGACGGTCGGGGGAATTGAACGCCGACCTGCATATGACGCAAGACCGTCGCTCTACCGTCCAAGGGTGTGTGTGGGGGTGAATGTTGCTACCACGAGGCACAGTTTACCTTAGTATACATTGCACGGGGGCAACACTGGACAAACTTTCATTGCAACACTCGCCCCCGTCATGCATGCAATATTTACTTCAACCGCTCAAAGCTTCGTTATTTCCGCGTGTCGCGCCTTGGGGGGGGGGGGGGGGGGGGGGGGGGGGGGGGGGGAGGCCAGGTTACCTTTCGTAGACTGAACTTGAGCGCGCTATTGTTCCTCGCTAATGGTGACGTGTGTGTTGTAGCCTCCACTCAGAGTGACGGAGAGTGACGGACGGCAGTCTCAGGGCCATGCTGGTGAAGGGAGGGGGCCATGGTGGTGAAGGGAGGGGGGCCATGGTGGTGAAGGGAGGGGGGCCATGGTGGTGAAGGGAGGGGGGCCATGGTGGTGAAGGGAGGGGGGCCATGGTGGTGAAGGGAGGGCCATGGTGGGGAAGAAGGGGGGGGCCATGCTGGGGAAGGGGGCTGATGGGAACTTGGGGGTTGGGGCGCAGAAAGGTGTGAACACCTCGGCGCGATGTGTCCTTACCCTGAGGTGCCAGAGACGGGCAGCCCCACACAAGACACCAGGATACACGACCCTCTTACAGGGTACAGTGTGTCAACTGGAGAATGAACTCTTAACAGGAAGCCACTGAGGACATAGTGGCAGAAAGAACCTCGAACTGCGCACGGGAGGAAATGTGTTGTACCTATGGGGACAGAGGGAGGGAGGGGGGAGGGAAAGGTGTCAATGGTACCTTGGTACAATGGTAATGGTACCTACACACCAGGTGGGAATTATCAATGGAAAGTGCCAAGCCATTACGACTATATAACACTGGGAAGGAGTCGGGATATGGATTTGGGATGGGACTAGGTGGAAGGAATGGTGCCCCAACCACTTGTGGACGGTCGGGGATTGAACGCCGACCTGCATGAAGCGAGACCGTCGCTCTTACCGTCCAGCCCAAGTGGTTGGGTCTGCAGGCTTGAAGTGTGGCAGAGGAAGTGATACTTTTCTGCCTATTCAGTTCAAGCTGTTTGCTTACCTTCAACACATGTTAGTGTGTGTGTACGTTCTTGTGTGTGTGTACGTGCTTGCTTGTGTGTGTGTACGTGCTTGTGTGTGTACGTGCTTGCTTGTGTGTGTACGTGCTTGCGTGCGTGTACGTGCTTGCGTGTGTACGTGTACGTGCTTGCGTGTGTACGTGCTTGCATGTGTGTACGTGCTTGCGTGTGTGTGTACGTGCTTGCGCGTGTGTACGTGCTTGCGTGTGTGTGTACGTGCGTGCTCACGTATTGGTGTGGTGAGAGGTCGTACACTAGACCAGCCAAGGAGTGTAATGTTACCCACAACTAATGCATAAACAGTTACACAATTCTTGAGTTTCTTGTCATATTTCTGGTTCCGGTTGACATATTACCCTCACCACCATGAAGTGCACTTTACACGTGTAATGAAAGCACTCACCAAGAATGTATTCAACCCTCCAGCCTCACAGACGTTTGACAACACAATGGCTTGTAATGGCATGGTCCCTTCAAAGGTTAATGTTGATCTATGCAAGGTTTAATTACACCGACAGTTTAAACACTCAAACAAGAGACGCCCAGGCATACAAAAATGCAAAATCCATCAGTATATAATGGAATGTCTACCCATGCTATGTAAGCCATTCTTATACGAGCGTGTTTTTTATATACCTAGTATATAAAAAATATATATATATATATTTATATATATACTATGTATATATACATAGTATATATACTATGTATATTTTTATATACGTAGTATATAAATGTCACGTCTGTGACAGGCAAAAATATGCTTTTTTCATGTGAGGAAATCTCCGAAACCTATGACTTTGACGCAAACCTTGTCCAACTTGAACGATGTGTGTCACGGGGTGGGCCCAAGTGTCATGTTTTAAGAAATATCGGCATCTATAAGGCCCCCCTCCTTCCTTTGATTTTCCAGGAGACTTAAATAACTCTGGAATTGTTATCCACGAAGTGTTGGTACTCTGCTGCATACTGGTCATGCATTTTCATGGTTTATGTGAAAACATGATTAATTAATTTACAGTATTTTAGAGATAAAATGTTGGCGAGAGGGGGAAG